AAACGTCAGACACCACAGTTCAGCCGCCAAGTACCGTTTAAGTGAACACCGAAACACGAGGTTTAGGTGTCATTTTGTAAATCACTTTATGGATGGATAATTCAGTAATTGTTGAAGAAAATTACAGTCACTGCCACCTATAGCGTTATGTCATGGGTCTGATTAACGGCCAAGAATAAACGTACGTGCGCGCTTAAGAAACCCGCGCAAATGTTGAGGTAGGGAGTAGCTGCGGCGCGCTTTTAACATATATTACGTATAGCGCCGTACGGAAACGGCAATATTTAAGTAATTAAGTATTTGTTTACATAAATTCCACGTTTTTATCAATAATCTAGCATGGTCCAAAACTGTTAAAGTTGTCATTATGCCACTCATTATCGAACCTGCTTTGGGCATCTAGAAGAGATCGGTTTAGCCTTGATTTGATTGAGTTACAGGATGTGTTCACAAAGTCAGGTTTATTCTGTGGATTGGAGTCCTTGAATTGATTCCAAAGCCAAGAAGATTTATAAATAAAGTTATGGCTTGGCTTTGGTGGTATTAGACGGTCATCCCTCAGTTCAGACATGTTAAGTAAAGAGTAGAGAGATATGGGTACCCTATATTTCACTATTTTAAAAAGTTCAGTTATAGTACGAAGTTTGTAAAGATTATGAACAGTAAGGAGTTTATGACTGTTAAATAATGGTTTGGTTGATTCCTTGGAATAGAATTCAGCTCCTAGTTTTTGACAACATAAGGGTCTAACAAGTTTATTATGAACTACCGATTTAGAGCGGACACACTTTGCACATGGTTTAATACGTGGATTAACAGAGTTATTAACATTAGACTCATATTTACCCAGTATTTTACATTGAATAGGTCTAGAACGAGCACATGTTTTGAATTTGTTTTGGTATGAGTTTGCATCTCCAAAAATTATTCTAATACATCTCTTCTGTGTTAAGAATACAGGGTTGATAACTTGGTTAGAGACACCACCCCATACTGAGATGGCGAACGTAAGGTGTGATTCAAATAGTGTGTGGTATATCTGCTTGTGCAGTTTTATAGGTAGACAGTTTTTTATGCGGTAAATACGTCCACAAGCACTTCTTAGTTTCTTATTTAGTGATTCGATGTGAGGTTTCCAGTTCAGTTTATCATCAATCAGCACACCTAGAAACTTAGTTGTTTTAACACGTATTATTATGGAGCCGTCTATGGAGAGATTTAAATCATCGGGTGTACTGCATGTAGACGATTCATTTACACGTTTGTTTGGGGAGAAATACATATAACAGCTCTTCTTAGCGTTAATATGTAGTAGATTACATTTCATGTATCTAGAAATAGACGAAAGAATATCGTTAGCTACATTATAAACGTCTTTTTTCGAGTCTGCAGAAACGAATAGGTTAGTGTCGTCAGCAAATAAGATAAACTTGCCTTTATTAGATACGTTGCATAGGTCATTTATATACAGGAGGAATAGTAAGGGACCAAGAACAGAGCCTTGGGGAACTCCCCACTCAACAGGAAGTTTATCGGAGTTTTCATTTAAGACGTGAACATATTGGCTCCGGTTTGACAGGTAACTTTTTATCAAATTCAGTGCGTTGCCCCTAATTCCGTAATTATTTAATTTGAATAAAAGCTTCTCGTGAGATATCGTGTCGAAAGCCTTACTTAAATCAATGAAAATGCCAAGAACGTGTTTCCTGTCTTTTAAGTGTGATTCGATATGGCTAACAGATAAGTTCAGTGCGTGGCTTGTTGAGTGACCCTTTCTAAATCCAAATTGGTTCTCATAAATGATTCTTTTAGCAATTAGGAAGCTGTTCATACGTTTATAAATAAGTTTCTCTAAAATTTTTCCAAATACTGGTAAGGTTGATATTGGCCTATAGTTTTCAAATAGTTCCTGATTATCTTTTTTATAGATGGGACTTATCTTTCCTAATTTAAGTTCATCTGGGAATATCCCCTGTTGCATGCAATGGTTAAAGTGCTTGGCTAAAAAGGGAGATATTATTCTAGCAGACTTTTTTATAACGTGAATTGGAATGTCACTAGATTTACCATTTGTGAACTCATTAATAATATCTATAATTTCATACTGTGTACAATCACTTAGATATATACTTGACTCACAGGTTTTAGGTAAGAAGTTTGAGAATGAGGGAATTGCATCCAGGGTTATATAATCTTCAGAATAATTTTCATTTAGTTTGGATGCAATCGACTGAAAATATTTATTGAATTCATTAGCAATCATCCTACGATTTATTATTTTTTGATCGTTAAGGATAAAACATGGCTTTATTTCACGCCTGGATTTTCCACGAATAGTGTTTATGATTTCCCACGTTTTCTTACTATCACCAGAGCAGTCAGTTAATTTACCTGCATAATGATTCTTCTTGACACGGTCAATAAGTACCTTGAGATGCTTCCTGTAATCCTTATATTCAAGGTATCTTTTTGCTATATTCATACAAGTGAGGCAATTACACTCCTCGCGTTTAATATTATTATTATTAGTTAGCAATAAACATTTTTTCTTCTGAGACTTTTTCCACAAATCATAGAGCGAGTCTTTCGTTCGAATTGAGGTAACAATACCACTAGTAATCCATGGGTTGTTCAAAGCGTTACGTTTAGATAATTTCGGTTTGTCAAGTTTGAATGCCTCGTCTAGGTGCTTCTGAAAAGTAGTGCAGAAACTACTGAAGTTTTCAGGAGGATTGGTATGTAGTTCATTATCAATTGATGTGAGAAAGGCGTCTACATTTGAGGTGCTATAGTCGTAATATTGTGCGTGTTTAAGTTTAGGTTCATCAGCTACAAAATTAAGACAACTATTGATTTGAAAGATGGCATGGTGGTGAGAAACATTGAGTTGCAACGTTCCTGTAAACAACGTGCTTTCGATTTCATTACGACGATTTACATCTTGAACAAAATAGCAATTTCTCCTTGCCATGCCTAATTTTTGGTTGGCCTTTGAGAGGACTTTAGAGCACTGGTCTTGCCAGTCGAGATTCTTGGTCACAAAAACACCCAAATCCTTTTCATGATCGACATAGTCAAGTGCGATTCTTCCCATGGAGTATACAAAGTTAAAGAGTGGTAGGACACTAAGGAGGGAAACTGTTTCGGATATCCTTCCTGCGACGGTGAGGACCTTACATTTGTCGGGATGAAATCTCATTTTATTAGAAAGTGACCAGTCATGGAGATAATCAATGTCCTTCTGCAGTCGCAGGATATCAGACTCCGAAACAATCTCACGCCAAATTTTAGTATCATCGGCATACAGTGACAGTTGTGTGCCAGGTGAAATCCCCACTGATATATCATCAATGAACATAATGAACAACAAAGGTCCCAAAATTGACCCTTGTGGTACACCAGATTGGGCGTTTCTCATGGAAGAAAACTTACCACTTATCAAGACCTGTTGTTGCCTGTCTCTTAGATAATCAGTGATGAATTTCAGTAGCCTCCCATCAATACCAAATTTGCTCTTTAGCTTAAATAATATAAGATCATGGTTAACTGAGTCGAAAGCTTTGGCAAAATCAAAGTAGACTACATCTGTTCTCATATTTTCATTCAGTGAGAGAGCTAGGCTGTCACATAGACCTACAAGATTAGTTGCACATGATCTTTCAGCTCGAAAACCGTGTTGTTTATCGTTGATCATGCCGTTAGTAAGTGCAAGTAACTCATCTTTAATTATGCGTTCAAGAACTTTGGTGATTAAGCATGTAAGGGATATTGGCCTATAATTTGAAACCTCGTGTTTATCACCTTTTTTATATATGGGTACAACGTGTCCCAGTTTCCACTCCCTAGGTAATGTCCCAATGTTGTAACATGAATGAAATAATAGTGATAATGGGTATGCAAGCCCAACAGCACAGTTTTTCAAAAGTTTCCCATGAATACCATCAGGCCCATAAGCTTTGTTAGGGTTAATATTGGAAAGGATTTTGCGAACCCTTTGGTGGTCAAATGCAATATCAAAGCGCCAATCGTTTGAATAATCAATATCTATGTCGTATAATGATGCTTCAGAGAACTGCTCGAAGAAAAAGCCATTAAATAAGTTGGCCTGGTCCTCTGGGCAGTTGCGGACAATGCCTTTGTAGCTTACAAACTCAGGAATTCTTTGACTAGCTGTTTTTGATTTTACATATGACCAGAATTTTTTTGTTACAAGAGCGCTATCATCTGATTCATTTAATGTTTCTCGCATTTTTTGAGCAACCACATTTTTGAAGTTTTTCCTGGCAAGGGAGAATGCTATTTGGGCTCTATCGCTTTTATGTCTATCTTTATGCAGTCTTATTTTCTTGCGCCATGCATCATAGCACTCTGAGTCAAACCATGGATCTTGTCCATCTGTCTTAACTGAGCATTTCTTGATGAATTTGTCAGTGATATTAAAAAGTTTTTCTTTAAATTTTTTCCACCCAATTTCAGGTTCTGTGCCATTAAGCAATACATTCCAGTCTGTGTGCCGGAGTTCATGGTTTAGCCTCTCCCAGTTCACGTTTTTATAGTTATAGCACATACGCTTAACCGGCTTCTTCCTATTTACCTTAATGTTGATCTTAAAGTTGATTGGAAAAGCATGTCTATTATAATATGTGCCTATTTTTCATCAGAGCTTAGGATTTGAGGTCCCTTCTGATAGCTGGTATCCTTTTGAGCTATTTCGTACTTCGTTATGCTTAACTTTCTTTCTGTCATAACAGGTTTTAATATTCCATATTTTATCATTTCCTTCCTTGTTTATGTACAAAAATTTTGTTTTCCTTAGTTCTAATTTATTTGCCTATTTTAAATGTTTGATTGTTGAGTTTGATATGTTCTGTCATTCTTTTTCAAAAATTTTGTTTTCCTTAATATCATCATGTCATAAATTAAAAGAACAGGTTGTTGCGTAGGAATAAAATTGTAGATTGATGTATAAAATCTGGTTAATCCCATATCACTTACTTAACAGGCACTAAATGTTCATGTGAAGACTGCAGTGATAGGACTCTTAGATGTGGAACTTGGGTGGTTTAAAACGAGTTTAGGAATCTCATACTCCTACTTTTAATACAGAACAACGCATCAAACAGTCACTGTTCACAATCTTCTATTCCTAGGTAAGCATGCTATACTTATAGCAGCTAGATTTTAGAATGTATTTCTACACTGTGCTCTAAGTAATGTTAACTAAACATAGTGCTTTTACCAAAACTCAACAGATATAATGTCAAGCTTGTTAAGGGGGCCGGGGGGGGTCTTCATCAAAATTCTCTCGAAATTGACTTTGAAGTTGTTTCTGATGGAGGGGAGTGATATCTATCAGCTGTTTTTGGTCCCATGGAAAAATATTGTTCCTAGCCGAAAATATTGCCGGTCAAAGGTCAGCGCTTATGTGTAATTGTATTGCGCGAGCGATTTTCAATCGCGCGCCCTGAAAATCGAGTCTAAAAATCTATCTCCTCCTACATTTTTTGAGCAATCACCCTGAAACTTTCAGGATATGTTCTAAGGACCATTTAGAAGAGATTGTCGGGCCAGAATTTTGAGATAGGCCTTAGAAAATTTTTTATTCGATTTTGAAAATCTTGGACCTCGTATTTTGACGATTTTTTCAGGTCCAAGATTTTCAAAATCGAATAAAAAATTTTCAAAGGCCTATCTCAAAATTCTGGCCCGACAATCTCTTCTAAATGGTCCTTAGAACATATCCTGAAAGTTTCAGGGCGATTGCTCAAAAAATGTAGGAGAAGATAGATTTTTAGACTCGATTTTCAGGGCGCGCGATTGAAAATTGCTCGCGCAATACAATTACACATAAGCGCTGACCTTTGACCGGCAATATTTTCGGCTAGGAACAATATTTTTCCATGGGACCAAAAACAGCTGATAGATATCACTCCCCTCCATCAGAAACAACTACAAAGTCAATTTCGAGAGAATTTTGATGAAGACCCCCCCCGGCCCCCTTAAGAGTAAAATGAAACGCGTTGAGTAGAATGAAAGGCGCTGATACGATCACAATTACATACACAAATACATAGTACTTCCAAGATGGGAGTGATGGTTAATTATAAGGTAAAATGTATTATACTAAAATATAATATATAAAAGGCCCCTGACAATAATATAGATATTAATGAATAGTGAGTCCAAAGTGCCATTTGTTTTTAAATATTTAAAATTTCAGGTCATCTCCTACAATCGAGGATGGTATGGACTCTGTCTACAACTCTGAACTCACTTTTTCACCCAAACTAAACGAAGCAAGCTTGAAATTAGCAGAAAAAGCAGCTCACAAGTGGAGAAGCCGTGCTCCAGAAATACGGAAATCTCGAGAAAGGGCCCTTGTTGCTGAAGCTAATGCAGCATTTACTTTTCATCCAACAATGAATAGTAAGAGTCAAAAAATAATTTCAAGGATACGCAAGCATGACGATCACGATCAAGATAATGAATACAAAGGATCTAATGTTCAGCTTTCCTATGAGCAAGGAGATTATTCTTCCAACACTGTTCATTCATCCGATGAAAGCATGAATCTTTCATCCCGTGAACCATCATTCGAGACAGCATCTGTTCATGTTGCTCAAGAAGCTGAAAATTTCATTCAAGAAGTTTTATCATCATGCAAAGGAGAGATATCTAGTGATGAAGAAGATGAACCAGAGCAAGAAGACAAAAGAACAGAAAAGCCAAAAGAATTATCCCCTGCGCAAGAGGAGTTACCTAAACCACTTCCACGTAAAATGCTCAATCTTCCAAGGTCATTGCCGTATAACAATGCTGACTATTTATTTAAGATCAGATGTGCTAAGGAAACGGCTTTAGATGCTATTCGTTTGAAAAGAATTTTCACTATATTAGGGCCATATCCTTATTTGCGCAGAGCTCTGGTAAAAAGGGGATGGGTTGAAAAATTTAGTGACCATAGTTGTCAACCAATACTTGGTTCTCCACAAGCGATACGGCCTAGGCCCGCCAAAAAGAAGAAAAGAGCCTCAGTTAAAAAGAAGATTTCTGAAGTTCCAAACTCCTCTGAAAGTGAAGACTCAAGCTCAGATTGTGAAGATAGTGACCCAAGAAATGACCCAGAATTCCACCGTATTGTGTCAAGACTTTTGAAAGATATTTCTCCAACTTTCATATGGACCATAAAAAGAGATGATATAGACTTTAAATACCTTAACCGAGAGCAAATAGTTAACCATTACTGCAAAGCGTCTTCTTTTACAACAAAGATTGGACTTTGTCAACATCTAAGGAGTTTACCTTGGTTTGATGCCAGTGATCCCAATGAATTTTTCCCCAGGTATGTTTTCCACAAACTAATTTCATTATGGGTAGGACCATGACAAATTTTAAATGATTCCACTATATAATTGCATACTTTTCATTCTGATATTAGTTGCAAATAGATATCAAAACTGATTGGATTTGTGCAATTCTCGTGTCGACTAATTTAAAGTCTTATTCTAAAAAAATAAGTACATGTTGATTGTTATGCATCTGTTATATATTAGATAATATTATGATTTTGAAACTTTTTCTTTAAGTAAATGTATGTAAGGTAAGTTTTCAAGATTAAAGAATCTCAGCAACCACTTTCTACAGTATCAAATAACAATCGTAAATTCCTCCAGGTGTTATCAACTCTACAGCGAAGAAGACAGAGGCGATTTTATTGAAGATTTTGAAATCTGTGCCTCACTATCCATTCTAAAAACGTATTGCAAACAGTATGAGGAGAACCTTAAAAAGGAAGAACTATCATCAAGTCAGGCTGAATCTGACAAAGACGATATCCCTGTTGTAGATGCTGTGAACTTGGTGCCACTTTCCGCTATCACTTTAGCTACAAATCACCTGAAATTTGTTATAAGAAAAGTTCAAAACGAGTTTTTAGATTTCCCACCTGATCCAAAAGACGAGATGAGTCATTTTAAAAGAAAGCAGCTTCTTGGATTCTCGTATTCGTTGACATCAAAAGATTTTATATTTGGATCTTTTGATAAATCCACTCATGCTCTGGTTACAGGAATGATAGAAGTGTTTGAAGTGATGAACTTAACTCAAAACAGTATTGATGGGCATACCAACACTTGGATAATGAAACCAGGAGCTAAATCGAGAGGGAGGGGGGTAGTGCCCCAAAACAACTTAGATGATATTTTCAAACTTGCAGACAGTTCAAAAGAGGAAAAATGGGTGATCCAAAAGTACATTGAGAGACCTCTTCTCGTGCATAGTATTAAGTTCGATATAAGACAATGGTTTATGGTCACCGATTGGAATCCTCTAACCTTATACTTTTACCAGGACAGCTATCTCCGTTTTGGTTCACGTGCTTTCACTCTTGACGATTTTGATCCTTGCATACATCTTTGTAATAATTCTATCCAAAAGAAGTTCTTATCTTCTCAGACAAAAAACGAAACTTCTTTCGCCCAAGGAAACATGTGGACAAGTAGTGCATTCAAAAAGTATCTTGATAGACAAGGTCTCCTCCACAAATGGGACGATACTATATATCCAGGGATGAAGAAATCTATACAAATGGTGATGATGACGATACAAGACATAATTGAGGACAGGAAAAACTCTTTTGAGCTGTATGGTGCTGATTTTATGCTAGATGAAGAGTATAACCCGTGGCTAATAGAAATAAACTGTAGTCCTGCTATGGGAGGCACTACTAAAGTCACTGAACGGCTGTGCTCTGAGGTTCTTGATGATTGTTGCAAAGTTATCATTGACAAGCGAGAAAACCGCTCAGCTTCAACAGGAAAATGGGAAATTATCTACAAACAACCTCTGGTTACCGTTCCACCATACATCGGCGTTCAGCTTGCTCTGGAAGGAAAGTATGTTCCCAAACCTACCCCTATAAGAAAGAAACTACAAGCTGAAGCTGACATCGACCGGCTTGCCAAGAAAGTGAAATCTCCGCGTAAACCCCAACCTGAAGTGATTGTATCACCTCGGAAACCACACGTTCAGAAACAAGAGCTGAAAAGCAGCAAGATAGTGGGAATCACGGTAGCTGATGAAACCCAGTGTAACATGAACTACAACACACTGGTTTGCAAACACTCTAAGAAATACGACACTGAGTTCTACACCACTGCTCTTGCTCTCAGCAAGGCACCCTCCACTGAACTCAAAACATCAACATCTGTCCCATCCTCCCTGCCCGTTTCACCGACCAAGCAGGTTGAGGCGTCTAACTCCACCACAGCTCTGCCTAGCATTCCAACAATTGTCGCCACACAGGAGAGATCCTCGCCACATCTATCCTCCCTGTCCATCAGTCCCATCTCGTCTACCCTACAGAACGAAGACAAGTGGACCGTTAAAAGGAAGAAGGGTCCTCCTAGTCGTGTCGTCTCCGAGTTGATACCTCACCAAATAAACCCTTACAGGTTGCAACAGATCATCAGTAGGCAGGCCAAGCCTAAACATTTGGATATGCTTGCTCTTCAAAACAGGTATTCGCATGGTAATGTTGGCTCAGTTGCGGTGTTAGATGTGAAACCAAAACGTCGGACTAAAATGGCCATGTCAAAAAAGAAGGTAGCTAAAATCAAGTCCCTCTCTAAAATGTCGAGCTGTCCGCACTGCGAGACGAAGAGTCAGACAGGTATTATCCTGAACTTACTGAAAGCAGGATCTCCGAACAGCTGTAAACCTAACCTTGTCACCAAGAAAACCGACCTAACCATCCAAAACCAGAGGCCCAAGAAACACTTTCGAGTTTCGTTAAGCCAGGTGTCAACGATGTCTCAAAGTGTTGTAGATATTCAGCAGACTGGATCGTCGTTGAAGATCGTCGGGGAACAGACTTCGAGTTAGGGTTTGTTGGGTATCTTTAGTTTTTACATTTTAGGTTTAACGTTAATTATAGATTTATTGTCGTTCAAGCGATTTTATTTTGATGAAAATCAGAGAGTCGACCATGTTATCCAATTTGAGATTAAATCGTGTTAAAGTATTTCGATCGGTTCTGAAAGAAATTCACGGAATTAATATTGAGTTCTTCACGGTATACAAGTATTATAACAAACAAGTTTGTCATAATATATAATCATATATGTTACGATCTATTCAAAGATTTAAGTTTAATTATATATCACACCATCGCATTATTAGAAATTTTAAGTCAGAAGATTGCATACTATTCACTTTTTATTTATTGAATGTAATAATTCTTCTCTAATATGATTAATAAGTTATTCTGAAAAATTTTTAAATTGAACTCTGAATCAACAGTTCATTGCATGAATTTTACAAACAAGGGGTATACTAGGAATTTAGGAGATTAGTATTATCATTACCGCCACTTGAAAGATGATTCGGGTAATTTTGCTTAAATTGATTAAATTAATTTATTCCAGGCTGGAGTTCAGTATCAAAGCCGTAAGGTTACTTTACTTAAGTAACCTTTACTTACTTTACTTAAGCCTAGCACATTGCTCGCCGGGTGTTAAATTCATTGATACTTTGATTTATAGATTATTAATAACGTATTAATAATGGATAACTAAGCTCTTTTGAGAAACGAATCACTTTTATGTACAAAGATGTGTAAATATTTAAATGAGAAATTGTATGTAAATATTAAGTTCGAAATGAAATGTGTATATATAAATATAGAAATGTACAAAGTTTTTCTTAACAAGTTACTTTAGTAACAGAGTGTTAAAACAAGTCGATTCATTGCAAATTCTGATTTGAACTGTGATCTTATAATACAATTTGGCATTTCACTGATAACGTGTTATGAAATGGGAACGCAAGTTTCAGTACAAGTTCTAAATAATTTCTAACTAATTTCCATAACAACTTATAACACACAAGATTCTATTATAAACTGTAGAGACCACACTACTATAATTAAAAAATTATTATCATTAAAATTATTATATCGTATGTGTTTCATCGCAAACCACAACTCCATATCACTCGTACGTAAGTGGTCACCTCTAGACTGTGCGAATGTCGTGTGTAGGTCAGATTATCGGCAGATCTGTGGTGAGAATTGAGCAGTGAATACGGTCTGAACATAGGTTCAGCAAGCTTTGCTTATGAATGAGAGTTTAGTGTCGTGTAGTGTGGGAAAATACTGAACTTATTAAAAATACTAAACTTACTGATAGAAAACACGCTGAAAACAAGCAAGTTCAATAGTCATCAGCAAACTTTATTATCAATTATACTTTGACATCTTATACTTTTACATCTTTTTAATATTTTAGATAGTTTTCCTTCATGCAGGACTAATTAACTCTTTAAGAAGTTATTTTACTATCGAATTGTTAGAACACAGCACAGTGCAATATAATAATATATATATTATACTGTACAGGGTGGGCCAAAAGTCACTGTGCAAACGTTGGCCTTAATAACTCAGTCACTGAGTGCCCAATTGAAATAATTTTTTCCGGTCGCGGTATGACTTACTACCACCACTGGTTCGAGGAATTTGCCAAATCGAAAAATATTCGTGTTCATTTTTTTTCAAATGAAGGTTCATTTTTGCATTTATTGGATATTCGGATCGAGCTAAATTTTATTGAATTGTGTTTGGCCATCCGAATTACGTTTGTCCTGAAAAATTAGAGTTGTAGCTTCTCAGATCACAGATGACTGAGATACGAAGCATAATGAGTTTATTCATTACGTGTGATCAGGTGATTGGCTTACCTAATCACGTGATTAGGTGACCCCGTTAAACATTACGGGAATCGTTAAGGTTGCCAAATTAAGGTGTCGTGTCACGGTGTCACATAATCACCCAGTCAATTTTGTTGAAACGAGATACACAAAATGCTTGATAACTTCGTCATTTCTAATCTGTTTTGCCTCATTTTTTTCAGATCAGAGGCAACATTTAATAATCTACCGTCTCTGAAAAAATTTGGCGTCCAGCGTGTTCAGAAAGAACAATATTATAGGTGTTTTAATATTGAATGGGCGTGGTCTAAAATATTCGAATTTTCAAATTTTGGCGACAGAATCCTCGAACAAGAAGGTACAGTATGCTGTCTGCAAAGCAACAGCTCTCAAATATAAAACACGGCGGAGGTACAAGACCAAACGTTTGCACAGTGACTTTTGGCCCACCATGTATAATCAATTATATTATCACTTTATCATGCTAATAAAGTATCAACTTCTTACGAGACGTTTTAACATTCTACATAATATTGTATGTTATTAATATATAATATATGTAATTATTAATATAGTAATATGTCGCATATTTCACCCCTCCAGTCTAGCAAAACTATCTGTTATTCTGCCAGCTGTGCAAGAAGCAAATAAGCAGCTTATCTATGAAATATCTTACTTACATTCAAATGGTCGGACATTTCATACCACAATATTGGTCCCTGCTTTCAAGTATCGGGTAATCAAACAAAATTTAAGATTGCACTAAAAGTTTTAGCAGTGTGTGTAATCTGCACACGCTGTGTGTGTCATCTGCAGTAGTAGTAGTAGTAGTAGTAGTAGTAGTAGTAGTAGTAGTAGTAGTAGTAGTGCACACTCTGCATAGTGGGTGTAATCTGCACACCCTGCACACTTGGTCCTGCAAAGTGTCTGGCTCCAATGCACCAGCCTAGGGCGTGCAAACTGTTTAATACCTCCAATATACGTAATCTATTTCTTTTGATCCTTGCCGGCCCTTTTGTGACACGATGGATAGATAATAGAGTGTGATCGAGCTTAGCATGTTACGTAAAGTCGGTTAAAACAGCATCTGCACACGCTACAACGAGCAGTGGATGCTACTCTAGTAGCAGAGAGGGGTGTGCAGTGTGCACAGTGGGCAGTGGATGCGGAGACTGCTGAAAGTGCTGTAAACGTGAATGCTAAGATGTTAAGAGTGTTAAGAGTGCAAAGAGTACTGTAAGTGCTATGAGTGCTGTGAGTGTTATGAGTGCAAAAAGTTCTATTCAGGTGTTGTGAGATGATAAAGGCAATATTAAGAGTGTTATATTATATACATTATATTAAGCTTAGTGTTCCAAAACTTCCGTGTGTTTCGCGAAATAAAACCATACTCTGTATTATTGTGGGCACATCTTCATAGTACAGGTCAGTATAAATTAGTGTAACTGTATTGTTGTGTAACTGTCTAGATCTCACATTGTGGTCATGTTTACTTTAGGCACTTTAGAACATAAGTACTTAAACGCTTAATTAGTTACAGGCTATGAAAGGGTATTCTCACTGGTTTAGCGCTGTGAATCCTACCAATTAGAGTCTTCAGCTATGAAAAGATGTGTTGGACTTTATTGCAACTGGTTTAGCTCAGGAAATTCTTCTATTTAGACGCTCATATCAGAGAAATATCATAATATGAAGAGATGCATACTTTGCTTTGTTATAAGTTATTTGTTAATTAGCGAAGACAATTCCGCATGTATTATAGTGGTATATCTGAGGGATATATCATAATATGAAAGGATAAGTTAGACTCCATTGTCATTGGTATAGCGCACATAATTCTAGAAATTAGATTCACATATTAGACTGTCATATATCTGTCTAAATACTACCTAATTAATTAACTAATTACTTAATTAGTCTGGAACTACAGTAAATGTTCTAAATCATGCTTTAGGATACAGTTGCAGGTTTAAAGGATTTTAATATTTGCTCATTAAAGCTTCAGAATTGTAAATTCCACAAATTTGATTTCTAAATTCTCTTAAAATGTCAAATTATGACTTTTAATAATTAATATAATCAAATAAAGCAAATTCTGTTGTAGAGGTTAATAATTAACAAATTTACAATTCCAGCATGGAAGAAGTTCCCGTTATTGTCTTTGAAGAGCCTGTATTTGGACGCAGTTTTCCTGCCAACCCCAACAAACGTAAAATCTCCAAAAAGTCAGAGCCAGAAAAGGAGCCCAGCATAAAACGGTTAAAGTTCGAATTTGAGAAATTCACAGCGCAGAATACAAAGGAGAAGAAGAAGTACCGGTACAGTAAAATAGTTGAGTTAGGAGGATGGGCGGAGAAGGAGAAGACTATGCCGTTACCTCTAAAAAGGAAGATAGAAGAAGCGAAGAAGAAGAGACAGTTGAAAGATATTGAGCTGGGTAAGCTGGACGCCAAAAGTATGAGTAAAAGTAAAAAGAAGAATAGTAATAGATCAAGAAAGAAGGGAAAGGGTGGGGCGTAGTTTGAAATTGTAATAGGTTTTTAACTGTTAAACCTTCGAAGGTAGCTTGAATTCCGGACCTGATTTACTCTCTCGGGTTTTATTCATTAATATGACGTTTAAAGTTTAATTTATTGGGTTTCATTTACTGATTTCAGATTTTCAATTGACCAACATGGACATTTGTTTTACCAGTTTTGATAGAATATGATTTGAACTTATATTGACATGTACATTATGGGAGGCATATACCCGTATTCTTCTGAGCATTACTAAAAATGGGTGTCTGATTGCTTTTAGTACAAAGTCTAATGCCTCGTTACGGTCAGCCGCTCCATAATGTTAAATACTTGCTCTGCAATATTAAAATGCTCAATTTGAAATGGTGCCAGATCGTAATACGATAACGATGAATTTAGGGTAGGTGATGAGATTAACTTATTACCCTCCTATGGCAACTGTTGTATTTACTGTTTTATAACTTATTGTTGCACAGCAACCCTTGGATACTTTAGAATGCACTCATATAACTTAAAAATATCAATTCTTAAAAAATGTTACGGCACGTGAATCATATTCTGTGTCATAATCATTTGTTATAATCATTTGAGGTTATAAGAACATTCATGAACAGCAGCGGAGACTATGTAATTCTTCCAAGAAATTTCAACCACAATCTGCATCAACCTGTAATTGCATGCAACTCTGCCTCGCTGTGTCTCGCCTGGTCGAGTACGTTATTGTGATTTCAAACTTTAAAATTCTGCAGTTTGAAACGACACTCTACAATTTACAACAAGTTCTCGAACATTCCAACAGCTAATTCAAACTCTGAAAACATTTAAACTATGTAAGAGAGCACTAATGTCTAATAGTCTAATGTTATGGTGAGCTGTTGTTTAACACAAGGAGCACTCTTTTTATTTTAACCGCACTTTAGCTCGTCTATCAATCAGCATTATATCATGTACTACTGCAGTAGTGTAACCCGGCCTTTATATATAATATGTATCATGTATCCTGAGCTGCAAACTGTTACCTCTGGAAGGCTGTTTAAAATATGCGAATTATTGAAAATATGTTTACGTTTGGATGATAATAATCACTTTATAATTAGTAATGATGAGTTGATTGGTTGTGCCATGATGTTGGGATGCTCTGATTGGTTGTGCCATGATGTTTGGGTGCTCTGATTGGTTGTGACATGATGTTGGGGTGCTCTGATTGGTTGTGCCATGATGTTGGGGTGCTCTGATTGGTTGTGACATGATGTTGGGGTGCTCTGATTGGTTGTGCCATGATGTTGGGGTGCTCTGATTGGTTGTGACATGATGTTGGGGTGCTCTGATTGGTTGTGCCATGATGTTGGGGTGCTCTGATTGGTTGTGACATGATGTTGGGGTGCTCTGATTGGTTGTGACATGATGTTGGGTGCTCTGATTGGTTGTGACATGATGTTGGGGTGCTCTGATTGGTTGTGACATGATGTTGGGGTGCTCTGATTGGTTGTGACATGAATCATGATGTTGGGGTGCTCTGATTGGTTGTGACATGATGTTGGGGTGCTCTGATTGGTTGTGA